GTATGTTGTTGTATTAAATGTCTTTTTGTCTTCTTTTTAATCGTATGGTATCTGAAACTTCACCTATCGCTTAATCAAGAATAATGAAAAAGGACATTTTATCACAAGAACAAAACTGAATTATACTAATAAGAATAAAAAATTGTCTTTTTATTAGACAATATTTAAAGCATGATCTTATATTGATATATTAGTAAATTTTTGTTTGTTTTCTATTTTGCTAATTATTTTTGTTTTTCTTTTGATTTGGGTATTTGTTCAACAGGTTGAAGGAAGTATGGTGGTTGAGATTGACATGTTAAGAGACAAACTCTCATCTTATTTTGAGAAGGAAGACAAGTTATAATTACAAAAATGAATTTCTAGTTTAATTTTTAGAAGGATTAAATTTATATAAAAATGACATTGTAATTTCAGTTTAATATTTTCCTTTTTTGCTTGTATATATGTAAATACCATCTTATTTTTCTCTGTCATTGTGAATGTGCCTTCATTTTCAAGAGAGGCAATATCTTGTAATCATAGACATGTTGACTATAGTAATATTCTTTGGATCTTGAGTCATGTGCACTTCCACAAGTTTGGGATTTAGTAGATTTATGTACAAATTTCTTTGATGGGAAATTTAATTATGTCAAAGCTCGTAGGTAGGTAGCGACGAATCCAAGATTTTGAAGTTTATTATTAATTTTTATAATAATTTTAATTTATTATATAACAATAATTAAGTTCATAGTCAAATATTATATAGGTTTTAAGTAAAAGTTGTTCAGTTTTCGTAAACTCACATATGACAAACTGGCCCACTCGTACTAATAGTGAGTTGTTATGGCGAAATCTAAATTAGTCGGGTTTTCTTTAATTCAAAACTTTAAAATCGTAAGAATTTGATCAGCAAAACTGTTAAACCATCGTAGGTCGTAAGTGTTTGAAGTATGTTGTTAATTTCATCTAATATATATTTTTAGTTATTGAACATAAGCACATTTCTCTATACTTATTAATTCAAGTATAGATCAAATTGACGCTTGTATCTAACTCAATCGGAAAAAAAAAATCCTCCATTCATCAAATATTTATATATTTCAATGTATCACATTGAGCTCTGCCAAGTAATTCACAAATAAGAGTTATTTGCACTTCCCATTATATTTTCTTCTAGCTCTTCTAGTTTGGAATTTTGTAGATTCTAAAACTAGATACTAAGTTCAATTTTTTTGTTTAGGAAATGTAATAGTTCAAATAATACTCTCCTCATCTTTAAAAAATATGACATATTTAACGTGGCGATTTAAACCTCGTCACTTACTTTTTATTCGATCCAACAGATTTTACGAATTTTCCATTAAGCTATATATATTATTGTTGAGCCCAGTATATGGGATTCATGTAACATGTTAAAAATATCTCATTTCTTAATCGAAAAAAAAAAACAATCATGAAAGAGGAAGGTGAAACAAAACAAACTTGAAATTTCTTTTCTCATCCAATGTAAGATTCGTCTAAGATTTCACGCACACCTCTTCTTCGATCTTCAAAGACTTGTTAATCTAAAAAATTGTCGGTCCTATATGTTACCGCTCCATGAGGCACTACATTTAATTTAATTAGAGAAAAGACAATAAAAGCACTACTGAAGTTGTTTCGAATTTTTAAAAAGATACCTTAACTTTGCGGACATTCTATTACCCCCTTAAACAATTTTAAAGTGTTGTAAATACCTCATTTTTTAACCATCCTCACTTGCAAGAAAAGAAGTTCAATCACGTACCAATTATAATCTACTACGTATTAATTTTTATTTTTATTTTTCTTTTATTTTATCAACTTCTATTTTCTTCTTTCTTTCTTCTTTCTTTATTCTCTTTCTTCTTCTTCTTCTTCTTCGCTACCCTCCTCTGTTCTCTTTCTTCATTCTCTTTCTTCTTCTTCTTCATAACCAAATTCTCCACATACTGTCATTTTCGTCAATTCACTTATGATTAGTCAATGGAGATCTGAACTTGATATTACTAATTTAAATTTTTTTTGAGATGTGTCAATTTAATGAGTTATTTTCTGTTAAAACATCTATTATAAATAGTTTTTTGTGATTCTATTTGTCAATAATAATTTTTTCCAAACTCTAATTCATATTATTAAAGCATCATTGAGGAAGATGATGAGGTAAATTTGTGTTTATGATATTTGATCTGCCATTAATTAAGTTTAACACATTTGAGGTAATTGTAATCCAATTTGAGGAAGATGACGAGGTAAATAATTAATAAAGAAAATGATTGAAACGTGGCACTTTTCAATTGATTTTTGACAGCAAAAGTGGATCTTCACGCGCGTCATGTGCGTGTTCACAAACATGGCGAGAAAATAAATCAAAATGATCCTTTTACAAAGATATTCAATACTTTTGCAGGGTAATAGAATGCCCGCAAAGTTAAATTGTCTTTTCAAAAATTCGAAATAACTTTAATGATACTTTTATGTCTTTTCTCATTTAATTAATTAAACATGCTTATACATGCACGTGACATGGCAACTTACTCCTCCAATTTATAATTAAAATCATACTTAATGCTCGTGCATGACATGGTATCCACACGCAATACACATTACAAACTTATACATATTTAATGCAAATAAACGTTGTCCATAGAAATTACACAAGTACTATATTATATACAATTATTATTTTAACAAATAAAAAAGACTAAACATTAATTAATTTCCCTTGTTATGATATGATGTATGTCCTTATCAAAACTATATAGTATAGATTAATTCTCATTATAAATGTCATATGACAACATTGTCTTAATCACAAATTAGTAGTAAAGCATAAAATTTTAAGTGTTGATTAGCAAAAATGTTAGCCATTTCTTCTTCTTCTCCTCCTTTATTTTCTACTACTACTAATAATTTTGGTTGGCTTTTGGAAGATCTTATAAGCCATGAATTAACAAATAGTGGAGAAACTTCAAATTCATCTCAAAAAAGCCTTCAACATTGTGATTCAAATAAATTTGATCAAATTATTATCAACAGTGGTGATCAGTATCAACCTGATCAGACGGTTAAGAAGCTTAATCATAACGCAAGTGAACGTGACCGTAGAAAGAAAATCAACAGCTTATATTCTTCTCTTCGTTCTTTACTACCTCCTTCTGATCATACGGTATATAATATTTTAAAGCTTAAGGATATTTTAAATATATTATTTTTATTTTTTTGGGGAAAAAAATTGTGCGATTTTGATTCAAAATGAATTTTAAAAGATGTCTTTTTGTTGTTTTAGCATCGAATAACGATTAGTATCAGAGCTAGTGATTTGATAAGATGAATATAAAATTGATAGGCTTGACTTATTATCTTTACCCGTCTACGAGCTAATTTACTATCTTTATCGATAGCTTGAAAAAGCATGCACACAAAAAGAGTATCTTTATGTTGTTTTAGTCTAACAATATGGAGATTTAAACTTAATTAATTTTGAAGTATTTTTTTTAAAATAATTATGCTCACTAATTTTTTTTATGTTTACAGAAAAAGCTAAGCATTCCATCAACAGTATCAAGAATTCTAAAGTACATACCAGAATTACAAAGTGAAGTTGAAAGATTGGTTCAAAAGAAAGAAGAATTTACATCAAAAAATATTTTGAATAAACCAAAAAGAATAAAAGGAGGAATTGAGAATTCTTCATTTGTTATTTCAACAAGTGAATTAGGTGACAAAGAAATAGTGATTCAAATATCAACTTTGAAGATCAATAAAGGTTCAATTAGTGAGGCTATTTCACAATTAGAAGATGAAGGACTTGTTCTACTAAATGCAACTTCTTTTGAGACTTTTGAAGATAGAGTATTCTACACATTGCATTTTCAGGTATTATATCAAATGTCCTTTTAATTTTATTTCTATTGCTTTAATCCCCACCTTGTTGCTCGGATCCTGTAAAAAATGTTATCAGATGTGTGTCGTATCCTAAAAAAATGAGTTGGGATAACGTTTTTGGAAGGATTCGAGGAATGTAATCTTTAAGAATGTTTTATTTTAAGTGATCAATTATCTCCGGACTCCACTTGTGATATTACATTTTATTTTTTTATATATATAGTGTTTTTCCTTATATTTTTTTTTGGTCAACAGGTTGAAGGAAGTATGGTAGTTGAGGTTGACATGTTAAGAGACAAGCTATCATCATATTTTGAGAATGAAGAAAACTTATTATGACGATGAATTTCTAGATTTATATATGTTTTTTGAAAAACATTGTAATCACACATTCTTTTTCTTTTCAATCTTTTTAATTCCTCTAGAACAAATATCAAGAGCAATTCAAAATGTAAATGTCTTTTTATTTACCATGTTATTGTGATCACCATTTCCACAAAATATCAATTGATTTGGCAGTCCTTTACAAATTCGTTTTTTAGTTTTACATGTGAAAGCGTTAAAATAAGCATTAATTGGTGAATTAATAGTTTCATTTTTGAATTATTGCCCGTCTTAAAAACACTCTTCTATTTGACTAACTGATCTTTAATACACCTTTGATCTTGCTACAAAAGAGAAATACACTCCTGAATTCTCGTTAAATTGAAGGGTATTTTTAACACTTTTCTAGACTTTTTATTAAGAGTTTCATGCTCCTTCATAAAAGTTTGAAATCACTCCCTATGTCTGTAACAACTCAAGTTACCACGTAACGAGGATATATATTTTAATCGTTGAACAACACAAAATGCAATCGAGAAATAGAAACGACTAACGTCCTTACAATGAAATTGAGAAAACTTAACAAAATGGAAAAAAAGATCAGAAAATATAGAGCTAGATAGAAGGAGGTGGGAAACTTAGACTAAGAAGGGAGACGAGAGGAAACATACTCTTCTCTTAACATTTAGATAATTCGTAAATCACCGATCACTACCTTTTCGATGGAACCGTCCTCATGCCCACTACTAAACCTGAATCCTAAATTAACCTAGCCCTATTGCTCGTTCTCAGCCTAATGACTCTTGTGTGACCTCGGTTCATAACAGTCAGTTTAGTTAGTCAAATAAAAAAAATGTTTTTAACACCGTCAATAGTATAGGACTCACATAATAATTTACGCCAATTTCAGGGTGTTTTCAGTACTTTGAGTCTAACAAATTGTTGTACGTACAATAGCTAAGCCACTACCTGAAACTAACTTTTTTGCTCTGTTTCATCATTTTCACGTTTTGTTTTTCTGCAAGACTCCATTAGTTACATTCTCTACATCTATGAAGAAACTCAATATCCCTTTATCAAATTATACAGAAAATTGGAAAATTTTTCAAAAAGATAAACGCTATCAATTAATGTTCGCAAATAGAACTGATCAATATGTCAACAAGGAGCATTATGAAGCTGAACAGATCATCAAATATGGATATACGCGAATATTAGTACGTTTGCATATTTTTTTTTATATCATCGAAGATTTACTTTATTCAACTAAACATTCTTGTTACCTTTCATGTAAACAGTTTGAGAAGTTACCAGAGATGATGAAAGATTTCACTGTGGGCTTAGCTTTGATTGAGCAGTTACCAAATATCGCGCCGTTTTTGTTGGAGTCAGCTGCCTATAGGATCATGCTTTTAATTGTGAACAGTAAGATACGTCTCAAACTAGAGGAAATGATTATAATTATACGGTTTATCATACTCGAGGTGACATTTTAAATTATTTTGGAAAAATTATGCAGAGGATGATGATCATTACGATCTTGATATGGATTGTTTTTTCAATAATGGGATTGTAGACAATCTAGTTGAATGTTGTAGATCAAGAAATTGGCGTAGTCTTCGTGTGAGTTAGTAACTTATAATACTAATTTGATAAATAGCAATTAGTAATATGTTATGTTACTGATTTTGTGCTTTTTTTTTCCTTAGAGGCAAGCTGCTGAGACATTACGTGAATTGGTTAATTGTGGAACGATGGCACAGAATCAGGAATTGCTTAGACGTGGTGTCGTTACAATTTTTCTGCAAATGCTTAATGATGAGGAAGCTATAGACCTTGATGATGAGGAGTGGTTTGATGACTTATTAGTTGTTGAGGTACAATGCTAATTTGGCATCCCTTGGTAGCGTATTGTAGGTCTAAAAATCTCGATAAGTTCACAACTTTTTGGCTAAGATACTGAGTTGTTTTGAGAGTCCCCTAAGTGTTATAGTAAATACAGTTTATATTCCAGATATGATTAATCATCAGAAGGTGGGAACTTCTTTTTAGCTAGTAACGTTCCGCGTTTTCCTGATTGACGTATTCTGTTTGTAAGATTTATGTGGAAACATCCTTTTGCGTCCAATTATCCAACCAAAAGTTGGATGCTCCTTTGATAGTCCAAACTAGACCTATCAGGAGGAGTTTTCATGTGTGTGATTGACCACTTCTCGGCTTCTTTGCCACCGGATGAGTATATCTGCAGTACATGTTCTATATGAAGTAACTACAAATAAAATCATGTATGTATTTTACGGAAAAATTGAGGTTTTTATATCTCCTAACTGAGTTTTTGATTTTTTAAACTAAAGGCTGTGAAGACTTTGGCTTTATTGTCAACTAAAGTAGATGTCAGGGGTGACTTGGTTACTGCATTTGTTGAGCAAAATCTGTGTAGAAGGCTGATGTTACTTTTCAGGTTAGTTCTTCTCGATCACATGCTTGTCGTGTCCTGTTCTGTTATGTTTTTTCCTACGCGATCTGATAAAATGAGTTGATTATAGGAATACTAGACACACCATAGTTGAAAATGTGTTGACATTTGTGGAGAACTTTCTTACTATAGGAACTGAAGAGCAAATGCAGGTAGTCTAAACTCCAAAGCATATGTTTTGTCTTATTCCATCATTTATTGTTTTACTAAATGCTCATCTTATGTTATGTGTTTTAGGTTCTTCTTGACAACCAAGTTTTGCATCATCTCAGACTTGTAATTGTCGAGCCTGTGGTGTCCGATTTATACCTCCTAGGTGGACAATATAAGGTAGTAGAGATTTTGGGCAATTTTGCTCGTCGTTCAAGAAGGTTGAGGGATCTTGTTATTGACAGCGGTGAAGATCTCATCTCATTATTTCGAGTCCTTCGTTCCCTAGCAGATGATTCCATCGTTGCATTTGACGCTTCACCAGCAATCAGTGCTGCCAGGACAATAGGATACTTGTGTTTTGGTAGTCCACCTCCACCATTTGATAAGGTTGAGCTTGTCTTCTGTTCTTTGAGATCCAAATATCACCGACACCTCGCTTATTTCTTTAATGCTGATACACGCTACATTGTTGTTATTTCAGTTGAGACCATCACTACCAATCCTCCGGTTTCTCATAAATCAACTGGAACCTCATATAGGAGAAAGAGCTTGTCCTGTTATTAAGCATGCCTGCTTGATTATTGCATGTCTGGCACGCGGTGGATTTGATCCTATAAATGCTTTGATTGATGAAAATATGTGCCCGATCCTGGTGATGCTTTTGGCGTAAGTTGTTCTCTTTAAGACGATAACTTAGCTAGTTCTGATGAAATGTTTAACTAGTATAACAGAGAATCTAATAAACTTGGGGCTATACAGACATCCTCACAGTGAGGTTGTTGCAAGTGTGCTGAAGGTTGTAGAGAACTTCCTCAAGAATGGAACTGATAATCAAATTCAGGTAATATTGTATAGTCGATTTTTACTTATTTCGTAGGTATTATGTCGTTTTTGTGAATGGGAAGTCTACTTAATTTTTCTAGGTTCTCCATGACAGCCAAGTTCTTCAACATGTTTTAGAAATTGTAATGAATCATGACAACCTACCTCCTTTACATCTGAGGAGTGTTTGTCGTGCCATCGCCAATATAGTGAATTACAGGAGCAGTCAAATCCAGGTTCATTTCCAGACATGTGCTATCTTTTTGTAGACGAGACGTTCTATATGAATAGTATTAACTAAAGCCTTATTCTACGAAGCAGAGAATGGTTGATGCAGGTATCTTCCCTTCGATTATTCAGATTTCGATTAACCAAGAGGTTGGTGATACCAAATATGAGGCTATATACGCCATCTCAAGCGTTGTCACGAGGGGATCTCACGAGCAGATTAGGTACAATGATCTTCTTTTTTAGATTCTTTCAGTTTCTTCAATGTTGTGATCATGACTTCTACGATGTGGTATGTGTCTGCAACTGAACCATGCTCAGACACTTGGTAGAACATGGTTCAATTGCAGCAATTTGTCAAGGCCTTCTATGTGAAGAGCCTCTTGTTTCCAGGGTCTCCGCGGTATTCTGAGAGTTGGAGAAGCTCATAAGGTAGATGGTGTAAACATCTACACACAGATGATCACCGAGAACGGAGGGCTTGCTAAGATCAAGAGTCAGAGGGATGACCGTGATGTCGGAGAGATAGCAAGAAGATTGTTGAGCTCATACTGGCCAGGGGAAGTATGATATACCTTGTCGTTCAGACCTCTAGTGTTGTGTAGTTAAAAACTTAATGAGTTTTGTAGTTTTTGCCTTCTAGTCTTCTAGTATTGTGTACTCTGGCTGTTTTGAAACTGTAAATGTGGGGTGGGCCATCATCATAATAAACAACGCGACTATCAACCGTACAACAGTAACCACCTCCATCGTCATAACTATCACTGTATCCATTACTAACTACCGACACCAACTATAACCATATGCTCCTATGAATCATATCCACTATCACTAACGGAGCTTAATTATGACTCCTATATTTTTATAATTAACTAGATTTAGGAACGTGCGTTGCACGTTTATCCCAACATACTTCATATAAATTTTGTATCATAAAATTTATTATTGTTTCGGTAGAAACTACATATATCTTCCTAGTAAAAATATTATATCTTTAATTATAAAATTGACTAAAAGTGCATAAAGTAAAAATAACTATCACACAAATTCAATATTCCAATGAAGATATTAAAATACAACATGATAAGTTAATGTATACAAAGCAACAAACCATAGTAAATTATCAATAATAATAACTATAAATAAC